TGGGCAAAGATGGACAGTGGCTAGCCGTGGAACCCAGGATGCACGTATCGCCCTATTTGAGACTCGTCAGCTGGATGTATCTGCATCCCAGAGTTGATTTTCACCCCGGGAATCGAACCCAGTACTGTTTGCTTCAAACGCCATCGTGTTATCCACCTAGCTACTCAATCCTGATAAATAGCGGCTTGCAGTGAAATCCAGGACGCGTGTTTCTTCCTATAGCGAACGGCATTGGGTTCGAGCCCGAAGGTGAAAATCAACTGTGAGATGCACGTACGCACAGCTGAAGAGTCTTAAATAAGACGAAACTCTATTTCTGGATTCCACTGCTAGCCACTATCTATATTTGCTTACAAAGCCTGTGAACCAAGGCAATATCGAGGTAGTCCGCATAGGATGCACATATGCCAACTAGAGACTGATCAATTGCATTCCTAAATAACAATGGGAAAATACAAGTAAAACAACACCAAGTGAATTTAGTGATTAGTTGTTTCAAAGATATTGAAATGAAAGATCGTTATATATATATGATGTTTAGTGAAATGATTTCAACAGTTTATAAATAATAATAGCACACTAAAGGTCTATTTTGTAGATGATGTTTATGAAAAGTGTATATTTGAAATCTTAATTTTTATTGTTACATGTCATCTTGCTATAATAACTTCTTGAAAAAAAGATATACATTGAATAGAGAAGGTTAGACATTACTTACTACTTACTTACTTACGCCTGTTACTCCTCGTGAAGGAGCATAGGCCGCTCACCAGCATTCTCCATCCAACCCTGTCCTGGCAATCCTTTCTAGCTCCGTCCAGTTGTAATTCATCGTTCTCATATCTGCTTCTATTATCCGACGCAATGTGTTCTTTGGCCTTCCTCTTTTTCGCTTCCCTTCAGGATTCCAAGTTAGGGCTTGCCTCGTGATGCAGTTCGACGATTTGCGTAATGTATGTCCTATCCATTTCCATCGTCTTTTCCTAATTTCTTCTTCAGCTGGAAGTTGGTTTGTTCTCTCCCACAGAAGGCTATTGCTGATGGTATCCGGCCAATGGATGTTGAGTATCTTGTGTAGACAGTTATTTATAAATACTTGTACTTTCTTGATTGTGGTTGTTGTAGTTCTCCAAGTTTCAGCTCCATACAGTAGAACTGCCTTAACGTTCGTATTGAAGATTCTTACTTTGATATTGGTTGAAAGTTGTTTTGAGTTCCATATGTTCTTCAATTGTAGGAAAGCGGCCCTTGCTTTGCCGATCCTCGCCTTTACGTCTGCATCGGATCCTCCTTGTTCATCGATGATGCTTCCCAGATATGTGAAGGATTCTACATCTTCCAGAGTTTCTCCATCAAGAGTGATTGGATTACTGTTCTCCGCTTTGAATTTGAGGACCTTAGTTTTCCCTTTGTGTATGCTGAGGCCTACTGATGCAGAGACTGCTGCTACATTGGCTGTCTTTATCTGCATCTGTTCGTGTGTACGTGATAGGAGGGCTAGGTCATCTGCGAAGTCCAAATCGTTTAATTGATTCTGAGCTGTCCATTGTATGCCGTGTTTTCCTTCAGATGTCGAGGTCTTCATAATCCAGTCGACCACCAGAAGAAAGAGGAAGGGAGAGAGTAAACAGCCTTGTCTGACTCCGGTCCTTACTTGGATTGCATCTGTCAGCTGTCCTCCATGCACTACTTTGCACTGTAGTCCGTCGTATGAGTTCCGGATAATATTGACAATCTTCTCAGGAACTCCGTAGTGTCGAAGAAGTTTCCATAACGTTTTCCTATCTACACTGTCGAATGCCTTTTCATAATCAATGAAGTTGATGTATAGTGATGAGTTCCACTCAACTCATTGTTCGACGATGATCCGTAGTGTTGCAATTTGGTCTGTGCACGACCAATCCTTACGGAATCCAGCTTGTTGATCTCGAAGTTGGGCGTCTACTGCATCCTTCATCCGGTTCAGCAACACTCCGTTGAAGACTTTCCCTGGTATTGACAGTAGTGTTATGCCTCTGTAGTTTTCACATTTGCTCAGATCTCCTTTCTTTGGAATCTTGACGAGGTGTCCTTCTTTCCAGTCCATCGGCACTTGTTCCTCCTCCCAAATCTTTTTGAATAGAAGATAAAGCATGCTTGTGGTTGCTTCGATGTCTGATTTCAGTGCTTCAGCTGGTATGTTGTCGGGTCCCGCTGCTTTCCCGGTCTTGATTTGTCTGACGCCCATTCTAATTTCTTCCGTAGTTGGTGGATTGACATCTATAGGAAGATCTATGTGTGCTGCTTCGATGTTCGGTGGATTCATTGGAGCCGGCCTATTCAGGAGCTCTTCGAAGTATTCTACCCATCTGTTACGCTGTTGTTGAATTTCGGTGACTGGCTTGCCTTCTTTGTCTTTGACCGGCCTCTCCGGTTTACTGTATTTCCCTGATAGTTTCTTCGTTGTATCGTAAAGCTGTTTCATATTTCCTTCTCTAGCAGCTTTTTCTGCCGTCGTTGCTAGTTCTTCCACGTATTTCTTCTTGTTGGCTCTAATGCTCCTCTTCACTTGTTTGTTTGCTTTTATGTATTCAGCTTGTGCTTGGACTTTCTCTGCTCGTGTTCGGCTGTTGTTTATTGCTGCCTTCTTGTTCTTCCTTTCTTTGATCTTGTCCAGTGTTTCTGTAGAGATCCATTCCTTATGATGGTATTTCTTTAGACCGAGAACCACTTGACACGTTGAAGTTAATCCTTCCTTGATGCCTTTCCAGTTGTCCTCCATAGTAGTTTCTTCTTCTTTCAGTAGATCTTGGATATATGAAAATTCAACCTAAATATTAGTTTCGGTATTATACTTGTCTAATGTCTGAAAACTTCTGAATGACAAATGATGAAAGTAAATATAAGACATTTCCACAACCACACGTAATTAAACTACACATATAATCAATAATCTATGTATCTATTCACACTGTATTACCCAGTGGCATATATGTATATGTATACATAGATGAACAGTCTGTTTTCACATTGCATAATTACCAAATATTACAAATCGAAAATAACACAAAATGTTATGTCTAGGTTAAACTTCATAAGTTAGTGAAAAGTAATTTGATTATAACATTCAGTTGTATTTAGTGGTAGTTATAAACCGAATAAACGATCATAGAAACATGGTTTATACTCATACTTACTTAAGGGAATGAATATTCTGAATAACAAAACTTAAAATGTACAGTTTCGAATGTTTTGAATTTCGACATTCTGGTTATTCAACTAAAAGAAACTAAATACAACTATTGAGTGTTCAAAAATCTTAGTTTTGATATATTTATATTCATTAAAGATTTTGGGAATCTCTACTAAATAAAACACTGTTGGCAATTTGTTCATGCAAGAAAATATATCAAATTAGGTGTTTTTATTTATGATCTCTCTTCAATGAACTCTTTCTATTTTAAATCTGATTCAATACGTGGACAAATCAAAATTTGAGAAATAAGAATTCCACTGAACACTTATGCAGTGTCGGTGCAGTAGTATCATTTGATCATATATATATATATATATATATATATATATATATATATCAGCTTTTGTTAATAACTAAACTAGAGAATATATGTTCCAACATTGTGTTGAATTATTTCTTAAAGATTGGCTTTCTGGAACTAGCTAATAAATGTTAGAATAATTGATAGAATATTGATCATATTGACGAATGCAAACAAGGAAACCTGAAATAGTTATGGATTATGTAGTGAAATAACCTTTTTATAAAATTATTCACTTTGTGACACCACTGCAAACTGAGATTAAATGGGTGATCAAAGTAATGTAAGGAGGGTTTTTTAAAAAAAGAAAACGGTATTTTCGAATTGTAGTTGACTATAACTAAACTATAAAAGGTTATATTCAATAACTTTTTATTCTTTTATAGTTTAAATTACATGATTTTCAGTGACCTATAAATTAATAGTTAAAATATCAAAATTTTAAATACTCAGTTACAAGCTTGAATCTTATTCATACAATCAAGTAATGTTACTGATCCTCATGTAGGATTCATGGTTTATCAAAGAAAACAACTATAATTTTAAAAAAATAACGAAGGAACGAATTGAGCGAAGAAATTTCGTTTCAATTAGTTTTTCATCATGGCTCTACACTATTATATATGTATGATTTACAATGATGATATAATACTCATCGAGTGGATCCGTTACGTAACAATTGCATAATGACATTTCATTTTTTAATTAACATTGAGTAATTGGAAGAAAGAGAATTAATAATAATCAAAGTAATTAATTCACCTGGTAGTGTTTTACTTGAATCTTCCCAATGACGTTTAGGACTGAAAGTGATCAGTCCCTTATTGGTATATGTGCATTACAAGCATTATAAGCAAAGATGAGTAGTGGCTAGCAGTGGAATCCAGGATGCGCGCTTCGTCCTATTTGAGACTCATCAGCTGGATGAACCTGCATCTCAGAGTTGATGTTCACTCTGAGACTCGAATCCAGTACCGTTTGCTTCACCTCATTGCACAAGCAAGTGGATATCAGAACTCAGTAGCTAAGTGAATAACACGATGGCGTTTGAAACGAACAGCACTGGGTTTGAGCGCCATAGTGAACATTAACTGTGGGATGCAGGTACATCCAACTGACAAGTCCCAAATAAGACGAAACGAGCATCCTGCATTCCACTGCTAGCCACTATCCATCTTTGCTTATAATCAAAGTAATTATTGGAAAACCAAGAAGTTGCTACGTTGCATAAAAATTGAAATGTCATTATGTAATTAATACGTAACATATCCACTCGATGAGTATTATTTCATTATTGTAAATCATATATATATATATATATATATATATATATATATATATATATATATATATATATATATATATATATATTTATTTCTTGGATTTCATATCATTTGTATGTTTATATTTTTAGAAATTTTATACAAATCCATTAACCTTCAAAGACTATTATCATATTGAAGAATGTATCATAGTATTTATTTAATACTAATCATTCATTTAATGATATTTATGTTATGTGAAGGAATTATTCTTACAGAGAATAATCGTGAACATTTAATAGATTGTTTACAATTATGTCAATATGCATTTATGACATGTGAATATAAATGTTTTAAAATGAATTTTTGTAAAACTATTTGTGATAAAACGCATTATGAATGTGAAAAATCATGTTACATTGAAGTATTTAATACTACTGAAACATTTTGATTTTTGATTCTTGATTTTTGATATAAACTTTAAATGTGATTTTGTTATTCATTTGAGAGACAAAGAAAGCGGGAATAAATTGTTATTAGATAGAACATATTATATAATGATCGACTTTTTTAGTTGTCTGTTAGAAAGACGGGGTGCTGGGAGTGGTGGTGGTGTTAGTAAGTATATTTCATTTGGTATACTAGTAACAGAATTTATAAGTTAAAAGGGCGAGACTCTAATTTAAGGACGAGCCAATCAGAAGCGTTTGGGCAATTTCAAGGTCACGGAGCCAAGTTCAACACGTGACGCTAACATACGATCGGTTTACAGCGGATTTTAGAGAGGAGGTGATTATTGAGAGGCTACAACAGATGAGACTATCAAGAAGTTCTTGTACGTGCGACTGCGGTTATCAAGTGACTACAGCAAAGTGTGCAGATCACCGTGGTGAGATTATGTTTCGTTGTTCATCATGTTGGAGGAAAAAGTCTGCTCAAACGGAGACCTTCTTCGCTCGATCGCGACTGACAATAAGGCAGATCATGATAATAGTGGCAAATTGGGTGATAAAGACACCAGTAACACTGGCTGTGGCGTTTGCAGATGTTACTGAAACTTCAGCAGTCCAGTGGTATGAGTACTGCCGTGACATATGTGCAAGTAAAATGACACGTCTACGCCAATCATTCGGAGGAGTAGGATGCATTGTGGAGATAGATGAAACGGTAGTAAGAAAGCAAAAATACAATAGGGGACGTAGTATCAAGGAAGAATGGGTAAGTAGCATTTCCGTAAATATACTTGACAGGTGCTTGGAATTTATGACCGATCAACTCAAAAGGGACATTTTCAGAGGGTCAGAAACCTGCAAGCAAACAAAATAATATCAATTATACAGGAATACGTGCAGCCGGGCACAACAGTATATACGAATGATTGGCGAGCTTATAGGTGCCTACATATACTTGGATATGTGTATCATGTAGCAGTGCACAAGCGCCATTTCGTCGACCCAACAACCGGCGTCCATACTAATAATATTGAAGCTATGTGGTCCAGACTGAAGGAATTTTTAAGACCATACCACGGCTCTAGAGGACGACTGTTATGGAGCCATATGGACGAGTTTCTATACTGTATACATTATGATTTCAGGAGTTCCGAACCTTTATCAAACCTTAACAAGTTTTCAAATCATGTAAAAGAAGACTATCCACTGTAATTCATTACTTTCTTATATTTTTACTTTATACTGACTGTCTTCTGATTAGCTAATAATTGTCAAGGTCATTCAAGATTCTTTCAAGCTTCGTCCCTAAATTAGAGTCTCACCGTTAAAAGTTTTGAAAATACTAAAGGTTTCAATCTTTTTTTTATAAAAAAAAGAAGTATTCTACCGTTGGTTTCGTGACCGTAAGTAATTTTACAGACCAACTGACTAATGAAGGTTTGTAAACTTGAAGATAGACGTATCTGTGGGAACTAATATAGTTAATAAAATGCAGTTTTAAATTTTCTGGAAGGATATATACCTAAAAGTATGAATTACAGTGAAACTTAGAGATGATCAGCTAGAAAAATCCTATAAAATGTTGATAAATATATAGGTTGTTATACGAAAATACTGACGTAAGTAATAAAGTATTTAAGAATTTAGTAAATTTTGAAAAGTGAGGAATTAAAGAATGTATAGTTTGAAAAGGATATCAAAGGTAGTGTTGATTTAAGTGATATTAATTTCTTCTACAGAGATGGATCCCCTAAAAGTGATTTCTGAAACATACTTGCAAATTTTGTAGACTTTTTAGAAGTTTGATAATTCATCATAATTTAATATTCCACTAGACTGATTTATGAATAAAATATTCGATGGATATGACCAACGATTCATGTTTAGTTAGATAAAATTGGAGCCTTTATTTTTGAAAGCTCCCAGAAAATACGTTTCCGATGCTTGTAGTTTATATTGTTAAATCATAATATGTCGAAACATTTCGATTTCAAACCATTAAGGTTGGTTTAGATCAAATACGAAGACTTTCCTCATAAAATTGTTATCTGTAGTCTTGCTTTTAAATGATTACATAACTGAATTTATAGAAATGAGAGACCCAGAAACTTGATGAAAGCCGATCATGAAATTAGTGAGGTTGAAATTTTTGAAGCAATGAATAAACATCAGATTTGCTATGCCTGTTGTGGAGATTATCGTCAAACGTTTCCGATTTGACTTTTGTATACAGTTGGAATGTAAGGTGAACCTCTTTTTAGTTACAATCATTTTTAAAAAATCTATAATCCGAAAAACATCACTTAGTTCACATAGTTAAAACTATTGCGTTTTAAGTAAGAGTTATGGTTTTTTATTACAATAATGTCGGTTTATAGAAGTTGCAAATAACATAATAAAGCTATTGAATAAGATACAAACATTTCATAGTTTCTATGCAAACTTCTTATTTGGATAGTTACTCATTTTATGCTCGATTTTGTTTATTTATCCATTGAATATTGTCAAATGATGATCATTTTCACTGTGATCATTCTTACTAATGAAAATGCGTAATGGAAAATCGATTATTAGGAGATGGTTGTCTGATATTTAAACAATAGTATGTTCAACAGCATGCTGGAAGGATTTTACAGCCATTCAGTGAATTTGACTGAATCATACGTTTAATTGTGTTCAAAATAATCAAGATTGGATGAAGGGACAATTCGTACAAAATAATAGTGTAGCGGGTGATGTCAACGGAGAGGAGCGATGGGACGTGCGGTTCAGGTTTCTGGAGAGCGTCCCAGGTGCCGGGTGGATATCGGATGTTGCTGCACCGGGAGGTTTATGGAGCTATAGATGTCAGCGCACCACAGACTCGACATTTTGACGGAGAGCGTGGCACAGACTTCAGAAAAGAGGAAAGTGGCACGGCGAGCAGAACCACCGCAGGAACGACTGCCTTAAAAAGTGGACGAGTGTGATGTGAGCTACTTATATCCACATAAGTAGTATATAACAGTAGTCAGGAACAGAATGTATTTAAGTGGAAGAAAGAGTAGGAAAGAACGGAAACGGTAAATAATTGGTATGAAAATGCAGGCACAATGAAATTTGAGACGATTGACTGGTATTTGTAGAAGGAACAGTCAAGTTTGAGACAAATGATTGATGTTTTGCTAATTGAGTATTTACTGTATGATTCTCAGATTTTACTAAGAGATTCTGTAATTTTGCGTTCAAATTCATTCGACTGCCTCACTTGTGTTTTCTTCCACTACGTTAGTATAATGTACTGTCGTGGTAACTAAGACCTGTAGCAATTATTTAGCTTTCTTCTGACTACACATCGAGTTGTCTCATTTCTTTTAGTACCTACTATATGAGGACAAAACTACGTATCTTATTCTTTTAGATTTAATAATAATTGGTAAAATGTTCAAATACTTCTTGCTTCAATTTCCTAAACTAATAAGTATACGCAACATTAACCATTAATTTTAGTTCCAAGTGTTCCAATGTTAAATTTCGAGGAGATATTTATTGAAGACACCAAATGATAACTCAATTAAGGTTGCAATTATTATTTATAAGTGCAGTTACAAGTCCTTCGGGAGTACAGTCAGAAGTACGATAGTAAGAGAGATATAAATGAAACAACAGCATAAACTCGTTTAAAGGTGAAAAAAATGACAGATGACTTTGGTGAAGAAAACATAACTTATTTTTAATGAAAAGCAAATATTAAGTTATCAGAAAACATTGTCAAATGAATAACTGAAAAAAACTGATTTCTACACAACTCACAAAATGAATGAAGAAAATGAAATCGAATGTACAAAATCAATTATAAATGTGCCCTTGAATTATTAACTCTAATTTTAGTAAAGTATTATCACACTATGTATTTTGCACCTTTAACTAGTTATTGCAGTTATCTAATTACTTACTGCTGTTACTCCTCGTGAAAAAGTATAGGCCGCTCACCAGCATTCTCCATCCAACCCTGTTCTAGGCAATCCTTTCTAGCTCTTTCTAGTTGTTATTCATCCTTTTCAAATCTGATTCTATTTCCCGACGTAATGTGTTATTTGGCCTTCCTATTTTCCGTTTCCCTTCATGATTCCAAATTAGGGCTTGCCTCGTGATGCAGTTTGATGATTTGTGTAATGTATGTCCTATCCATTTCCATCGTCTTTTCCTAACTTCCTCTTCAACTGGAAGCTAGTTTGTTATCTCCCACAATTGGGTGTTACTGATGGTATCCGGTCAATGGATGTTGAGTATCTTGCGTAGACAACTATTTATAAATACTTGTACCTTGTTGATGATGATTGTAGTAGTTCTGCAAGTTTGATCTCCGTGCAGTAGAACTAACTGTCTTGACGTTGGTATTGAAGATTGTGACTTTGATATTTGTTGGCAGTTTTTTTAGTTCCATATGTTCCTCAATTGTAGGAATGCGGCCCTTGCTTTGTCAATTCTCACCTTTAAGTCTGCATCTGAACCTCCTTGTCCATCGATGATGCTTCCCAGGTATGTGAAGGATTCCACATCTTCCAGAGTCTCGCCATCAAGTGTGGTTGGATTTCTGTTCTCCGTGTTGTATTTGAGGACCTTGGTTTTAGCCTTCTGTATGTCGAGGCCTACTGATGCAGAGACTGGTGCTTCACTGGCTGTCTTTATGTGCATTCGTTCGTGTGTGCGATAGGAGGGCTAGGTCATTTGGGAAATCAAAATTGTCTAATTGGTTCTGAGCTGTCCATTGTATTCCGTGTTTTCCCTCATATGTCGAGGGCAGTTTTGTCTGACTCCGATCCTTACTTGAAATACATCTAATGGTCTTGTAAAATATTTTTCACTTATTTAATGAAAAATTCCACCACAGTTGAACTTCAACTGAAGGGTTGCTGAAAACCAGGTAGAAACAGTCAAGGATCTGATGCACCAAATGCATCAAGACTTGGAATTCCCGGGTTTGACAGTAATTTAGTACTGATTACTGAATGCTAGA